CATTATCCGAAGTAGAAGACAATCTAGAACGTTTGAAAGTAACTGGATTAGTGGCCTCATATTTATCTTACAAAATTCTTTTGGATGCTTTAATCCTTGGGTCATCTTTGCGACCATCATTATTCTTTGATGTTGTTGTCACAACTTTCTCAAGGGAAGTAATAACATAATTACCCGTAACTGCTTTAGTAGCCGAAGAACCTGCTTGAGCTTCCTTTGAAGGAGCTTCATCTCCACCACCAATTTCAATATGATCAACAATACGATCCTTCGTTGGGCTCACGATAGGAACCTCCGAAGTATGACTACCAATATCCATAAGATGGTCATCCTCATCAACTATTTCCTTAGAGTTCTGACCGATCGGGTCACCAAAAGGATCCACCTCATCCCCAACAGTCACAAAGCTAGATGCTCTAACAAATTCAATCAAACGTTGAGGTCTAGGTTTTACCTTCGGTTATTGAGTACTGACCTTCAACTAATCCCTATACGGCAGCTTTGTTGCCTTCTCATCCACCTTCATAGGACAGCTCACTATAATGTGCCCAATAACGCCGCAATTGTAGCAAAAATTGGGTAAACGTTCGTACTTTAGTAGAAAAACTCTCGGCTTTCCACCCTTTCCATTTCCAAGGAGAACACATCGACGTAATGGTTTGGTAATATTGATCTCCACATGAACTTAGAGGAATTCCCCAAGATTACCTCCCACTAGTCGTATATCAACAACAACCACGTTACCAATGCAGCCTCTTAAAGCCAACCCCATATCCTTTGCCATCGACCCCAAAGGAAGAATAATATACGCACCCAAACAGTCATGGAGTCAAAGATATAATCACTCAATCCCTTCTCGACATTATACGAAAGTAATGAGAATAAATCACCTTCAAACGTCTAAGGGCTTCATTTGACCACAACATATGGTGACAATAGGGACAATTGCATGGCAAGAGGACCTGTATGGCAATAGGGACCATGTTGACTGTCCTCAATCATAGCATATGGTGGCCAATAAATCACAAATTTCAACTTAAAATTTATCTCAATCTCTCTTAAAGTCTATAAAATCACCCACAAATTTTCATATTTTTTTAATCTCGGTCTATGTTTTTAATCGTAAGATGGCCTCCATCTCAGGATAAGTTCTCCTCTCACCAATGGTAACCTCTCTACCGCTCAGATCATCGAATGGAGCCCCTAGTCTTCGAGAACTCAAAATGAGTTTGTTTATTAATTAAATTTTTTTATGACTTTCTGAAATTGAGTGACCTATTTAAAATTTTATTGATAATTAACTGACTCGTTTACAATCTTACTAATAATTGAATTACATGTGATGTTTGCCCAATAAGAAATCATTAAAATTGTTTCCTAATGACGTCTTCTATTGTGTGTTTCATTTTTAACAATCCAATAATTTGTTTGTGACAATTAATTAATTGACTCATTTATAATGTTTTGAATTTGAATTACTCATTTGTAATTATACAAATAATTAAGTGACTTGTGTTGTAAGTTATCCTATAATAATAGAGTAAAGTATACAAATGGTCCCTCGACTATAGGCGTTGTTTTGTTAAGTCCCATACTATTGAAAGTTACAAAATAATTATTCGACTATTCATATGTTCTAAACTTATCATTTTTCGTTAAAAATTTAACGGTCGTTTGAGCTGTACATTAACATGTTGAATGTGATATGACAAAATCATATTTTAATGATATATACTACACGATATAATGTTTCAAGACTAACTTGATAGCATAATGTAAATGGATAGTCGATATATAAAATATAGCTCAAACGATTTTGAGATCAAATTATCTTAGTCAATAGGTTAACATCCAACTCAAACAGTCGCCTACTTTTTAACATAAAAGGATGAATTTAGAATATATGAATAATCATGTGATCATTTTGTATCTTTTAATAGTTAGGAGACTTAATAAAATAGTATCATATAGTTATGAAATTATTTTATAACTTCTAATAATTATATGATCATTTTATAATTTTAATATTTAAGAGATTCAAAATTTCTATAATGGGGGACATTTGTGTACTTTACCCTTAATAATATTAAGAAATTTGTTTCTTTTTGCCCTCTTCTTTGTCTCTGAATTCTTTGTACCAGAAACGATATTCCCGCGGAGGAAAAAAACAGTTCCGACGGTTCGATAGATTACGATTTCAGAGCAGAGAAGAGGGATAAATGGTAATCTCACAGGTGGTAGATACGTACCCATTGTCGAGCTATACCTTCGATACCAAAGAGCCCAAGATGGAGAAGGACACGTCCGTCGCGGATCGCCTTGCTCGCATGAAAGTCAAGTAATTTTATCACTTTCTTCATTTCATTCCTTGAATGATTACATGTTTTTTCTAGGATTTCAAAAAAAAAAAACCCTAGATAAACCCCACCTGAGAATGCCGGCTTAGTTGCATAGTTCAGTTGGTGATCTAAGATTCGAACCCAAGGTTCTTCCCCTTTCTTAGATCATATTGGGAAGTTGCAACTAAGAGGAATATCTAGACCAAAAGAAAAATGCTGGTAAAAACAATATACCATTTGAAGTGAGATTTAATTGTGTTTCTTCGGATTTTACTCGAAGTAAACTGGTCAGTTTTATTTCAAAAACTAAAATAAAATACTGGTTTTTCCCTGTTTTTTGGGAAAGTTTGAGCTGCTGAACGTTTTGTTTTCGAAAACCCTAAGCAAAGGCAAGAAAGCGAATTGAGGCTTTAAACTTTAAGATTAGCATATTGAAACTTTACTTTAGATGAGCTCAAGTTTGTTATTGCTTCTTTTGATTGCGAATTTCAGTTATATGAAAGAGGGTACGAGGACAAGCGTTGGTTCTGGTAAGTAAGCGTGCTTCTGCTTTGCCATTAGGTCTTAATGACCAAGAGGGAACCTTGTAAAGCTTATGCTTTATTCTCTTTATTGAAAATTTATGGTGATAGTTTTCACTCCTAGTTTTTTATGACAGAGTAGTTAGCTTCTATATGCGTTTACATATGACATGATAATCGGCCTAGCAGATATTTTCAACAATGTCTTACCTGTATAAATCGATAATCCAATATCAAGGAACGGGGAATTACATTTACATCCTAATAATACACTAGAGCCGCCTTTTTGTGGAATTTTATATGTTTGTTTCAATATGATCGACTATGATAAATATATAAAGGTTTTGGCATTATGAGTTTTCTGCATTGTTCTTTTGCTGCTTTCTCCTTTATTTATAACTTGTCAATTATTGTTTTCGATGTGTGGTTTGCAATAATAATAATATGACTTCTAAGATGACCATTTTAACGCATGTCCTTCAATTACCTATACTACCTCCGTATGCAGGTCCAACAACATAATCATCCTCACATTCTTCTTTTGCAAATTGGGAACACATTCTGCAAACTTCCTGGTGGACGCCTAAAGCCTGGAGAGAATGGTATCATCTTACTTTTGCTATTTTCTTTGTATCTTGTCTATCTTTCCCCTTACATCTTTTCTTCTGTGCTATTTTGGAGATTCTATGACCTTTGCAATATTTTTGCACATGTGTTTTGGCTTCAGAGATTGAGGGTTTGAAAAGGAAGCTGACTAGCATGCTTGGAGCTAATTCACATGCTCTTGTACCAGACTGGCAGGCACCGATTTTTCAATAATATATTTCTAAGTTGAGTGGACAAGTCATTCTTTCCTGTGATCTAATATCGGCGAGTGTGTGGCCATCTGGTGGAGGCCCAACTTTGAGACCATAATGTATCCATATTGTCCTCCCCACATAACAAAACCTAAGGTAGTGTAGGGTGTACATGCGGCTATTTAAGAGCTCTGTTATCCTTTCTCAACCTCTACTATTGATATTATTGTAGGAGTGCAAGAAGCTTTCCTTGTCCAATTTGTCCGAGAAAGAGTACTTTGCAGTACCAAAAAAATTGAAACTTCTTGCAGTACCATTGTTTGAGCTGTATGATAATGTTCAGGTAGGCGGTAACCTACTCTGAATCCATTCTTCAACTGATGTAAGTATGGTAGAGGTGAAATTTGAAATGAGTTTAATCTGTGGAAAGTTTCCCATGGTCACTTAGCTGTATTGCTCTTCTGGTCCTTTTAACGAACAGAAGTGTAAATGTTGAACAGAGATATGGACCTGTGATATCGACCATTCCGCAGCAGCTTTCTAGATTCCAGTTCAACATGATTACTACATGACTTTGGCGTAAACGTTGAGAGTGAACCAGATGCTTACCTCCTGACAGTTGCATCCTGAGAAAACTGCTAAGCCTGGTGGTATTGAATGAGAGGTTTTTGTGTTGGCTTTCTAAGTAGATGAACATGATTACTACATGTCTTTGGCGCCGCTAACATGATTTTTGAAAATTTCTGAAAATTCGGGCTTGAATTATATGACTTGCTTCAGGCGAGATGCTTTTGTCCTTGTTGTTGTTACCGTCTCTGGTGAACACAGAAAACATCTTTTCTCATCCAACTAACCCATTGTTGAAAGGAAAAGGGAAGGTGTCTTTGAAATCATTAATGTTTGGAGCTAGAATCGCAACAAGCTCAAGCAAAGCCGTGAATGAACGTTCATTATCGGTCATTGGAGGCTCAGGCAACGTCAAGCAGTGGGTTGTGAGATCTGATTCCCACCATCCTGCACGTTTGACTCTATTGCAAAAATGAGAACAGCAACAAAAACAACCTAGATTTGAAATTCTAATAAATACCCTCTTCAATTCTTAATAAATACCTTTTTGAATTGTAAGCAAGTTCTTAGCCTAATAAAATTATATTGATTGACAAATTTAGATCAGGTTTTGCTAAGTTCCATTATAAGAGCGACTCTCCTAATTTAATTTGTTTCATTCATGAGTATATTTGATATATAATGTTGTAAGATTGACCACTTCATTCTACGTCTTAAGGGCTCAACATTATTACATCTTCACTTTGTTTCTTACAAATTCAACAAATCTTCACCAAACAGTACCCTAGACACACACAAATACATACAGATCACGCACTGCACAATGAACAATGACCAATGGCTAAATGATTCACAATATAAAGCAATCTTCACTAGGAAATGGAGTGCTCAAAAGCAACCAACAATGGTCTTGGGAGTAGTTCCGGTGGCTCGGTACTTCGCCGCCAATTCTTCGGCCTTGAGAACATCTTCCCCACGCTTGGCTTCAACCATTGCCTTCTTCTCTTCAGCTTCCTTGTGGATAAAAGCTATCTTATTCTTCATCTTCTCCACATACTCCGCCTTCTGCTTCTCTAGCTTTTCCTGCATATTCACCAATAAATATCTTAACTTTCTCTTTTATAAACGAACCGAACTGAAGTGATAATACCTCAGTCTTTCTCAACTCGACTTCTAGAGCTGCTTTCTTGCTATTCTCCCATGCAGCTATAGATGAAAGTTTCTTTTGAGTTCTGCTCAACCATGTCAATAAGCTTGAGTCAAATCCAGTAATTAAATCTAGTATAAATTAAACATTTAGTATCTAAATTATTACTTTTATTGCCTTTTGGTTCCTACATTTGATTTTTTTCTAAATCATATTTAACATTTAGTTTAGGTTTCATTTTCATACCCACCATTAAAAACGTAAAGGTAATTTTGATGTGTCGCCGTTAGATAATGTCACATTATCATTTAAAAGAATTAAAGAAATTTCTACTTTAGTATTTTTGTTATTTTTCTAATGACAGGTACCAAATTGAAACTTAAGCTAAATATTAGGTATAATTTTAAAAATTAAAGTTTGGGTACTAAAATAAAATAAAAGTAATAGATTAGATACTAAACATGTAATTTACCCATAAATCTATATCTTTTATTTCATGTATAATGCCAAAATTAATTTTCCATGTTTACTAGAATGGTCACTTTAGCACTTGTTTTTTTTTTTAGAACATTTTAGTATTTAACGTTTTAATTTTTGATTAAAATAACTTATGTTTGATGAAAATCATTAATTGACTATGCATGTCGATAGTGTAACATTTATATATGTGTTTAATTATTGATATGTCATATATCACGTAATTATTTGGGTGATATGATACATATCACATCATCGTCTTACATGTCACATCATCGTCTTAGAAGACATAACACATATCATATCATCATATTAGGTGATATTGCATGTTCCATATCAGTACCTTAAGTATTATGGCACATGGCATACATTAATAATTTAACACATAAAAATATAGTATCAATAATATATGTTGAATGTTGGTATATTACGATTTTTATTTAACAGAGATTATTTTAACTAAAAAATAAAAGTTTGAGATTAAAGTGATCAAAAATAAAAAGAACAGAATGTGAAAATGCTAATTCAGACAAATGTTGATACTTGTTCTCAGCTTTGCTTTTCTCGCTCTCTTCCCAAGCTTTAACTAGTGAGACTCGCTTCTCAGTCGTAACTCTAGCGAGCACTGCATCTCGACCAACAGACCCCTCCGTGCTTTCCTTCTCTGCCTCTGCCTCTGACATATACAGCCAAAGCTAAATCAATAATCTCAAGATTATTAAAAACAAGGAAGAACTGGAAAGGGATCGATATGCTGTGGACGGGGACAGGCTTTTCTTCAGTAGGAGGTGGTGGTGGAATAGCGACCTTTTCTTGGACGACATCGGGAGCAGGCGGCGGGGGATCAGAGGGGGGTTCGGGTTCAAGCTTCTTGGGATCTTCAACCTCGGTCATGTGAGCATTTGTTTAATTGTAATTGATTTTTTGAAAAATGAATTACTGAAATTTGAATTATTAGAATTTGAATTAATAAAAAATGAATTATTATAATTTGAATTCTGAAAAATTAATTACATTTCTGAAAAATATTTTCCGTAAAATGAATTATATTATTTTTGAAAAATATTTGTAAAACTTTTTATGATATTTAAAAGATTTATTTAAATCTTTTTTTCACTAGTTAATAAGTTTTTTAAAAATTATTTATTATAAATATTAAATACAATAAATAATATTATTTATCATAAAATTTAATATTATTATTTTAAAATATTAAAATAATTTATTTATTATTAAATATTATTTTTATAATTTTATTAATAAAATTATTAATATTGTTATATTTTAATGAAATAAAAATATTATAAATTATATTAATTATTTATTAAAGTAATAGTGTTATATTATATTTTAAAAATATTAATTAGTATATTTTAAATATCTTTATTAAAATATTATTAGATTATTATATTAATATTAAATATATAAATAATATTATTCATTATTAAATATATAAACAATTTATTATATATTTATGAAAATAAAAATATAATATCTTATATTATTATAATATAATTGATTATTTTATTATAATATTAAAAATATATATATATTATAAATATTAATAAATATATTTTAAATATTTTAATAATTAATATTTTGATGAAAATGATATTAACATATTTTATTAATATTAAATTAATAAAATAAAATTATTTTGAGTATTTATTCTTTGAAATGAAAAGTTCGGAAAATGACTTACGGAAAATCAGACCGCAAGTCATTTTCCAAAAAACACAAGAAATTCTGTTTACCAGGAAAATGTTTTACGTTGACCAACCAGTTTTCCTCCAACCAAACACCGAAAAATATTTTTCGGAAAACGAATTACGTGAAACAAACACGGAAATCATTTTTCGAAAAACGAATTACATGAAACAAACACGAGATTTCGGGGAAAACTAATTCCGTAATTCATTTTCAAAGAAAATACAATTGTTTGGCTGTAATTTATTTTCTGAAAAATGGATTATTGGAATTTGAATTACTGGAAAATGAATTACATTTCTAGAAAACGTTTTTCGTAAAATATTTTTCGTAAAATGAATTACATTTTTCTAAAAAAACAACTGGAAAATGTTTTATGATGTTTGGAAAATGTTATTTAAACCTTTTTTCCACTAGTTGATGAGTTTTTAAAAATTTATTTATTAAAAATATTAAATACAATAAATAATATTATTTATCATAAAACTTAATATTATTATTTTAAAATATTAAAATAATTTATTTATTATTAAATCTTATTTTTATAATTTTATTAATAAAAATATTAATATTGTTATATTTTAGTGAAATAAAAATATTATTAATTATATTAATTATTTATTAAAGTAATAGTGTTATATTATATTTTAAAAATATTAATTATTATATTTTAAATATCTTTATTAAAATATTATATTAATATTAAATATATAAATAATATTATTCATTATTACATATATAAAAAAATTATTATATATTTATTAAAATAAAAATATAATATCTTATATTATTATAATATAATTGATTATTTTATTATAATATTAAAAATATAATATTATATTATTATAAATATTAATAAATATATTTTAAATATTTTAATAATTAATATTTTGATGAAAATGATATTAACATATTTTATTAGTATTAAATTCATAAAATAAAATTATTTTGAGTATTTATTCTTTGAAATGAAAAATTCGGAAAATGGCTTACGGAAAATCAAACCGTAAGCCATTTTCCAGAAAACAAAAAAGAAATTTTGTTGACCAAGAAAATGTTTTACGTTGACTAACCAGTTTTCTCCAACCAAACACTAGAAAACATTTTCCGGAAAACAAATTACGTGAAACAAACACGTGAAAACATTTTCCGAAAAACGAATTACATGAAATTAACATGGGATTTCGATAAAAACCAATTCAGTAATTTATTTTACGGCAAACAAACAGACTAAGATATTATAATTGGGGGAAGGGGACACAATGTGCAACTATTGCTCATTCCATTGTCTCAGCTGAGTTGTATGGTTGGTGTTATTGCACTATTATGCGTTGACTGGAAAACGACTCATAACTCCAACCTTCTTTCATTTTTTAGAGAAATTACACAAATAATCCCCCATTTATAGGGTATTGCTTTGTTGATCGTCACTCAACTATTTATATGTTTTAAACTCGTCATTTTTTGTTAAAAAATTAAACATCGTTTGAGCTAGACGTTAAAATGCTGACTAAGATATGATAAAACCATATTTTAACGATATCTACTGGCATCGTCATTGCTTTCGAGCACTGACTTGATGACTTAATGTAAATAGAGACTCGATGTACAAAATACAACTTGAACAGTTTTGGGATCATATTTTATCATATCCCAGTGAGCAAGTTAGCGTCTAGCTTAAATAATCACCATTTTTAACGGAAAAAGAAAAGTTTAGAAGATATTAATAGTCGAAGAACTATTTTGTAATCTATAATGTTCGAGGGACTCAACAAAACAATGTCTTATAACAAGGATTATTTTGTATTTTTCAAATAATCAAAAGACTCAACAAAGCAGCGTCTTATAGTCAGCCTTTTGTGTACTTTACCTTTTTTATTAGTTTAAACATATTATATATATAATATTTAAATTATTTTTATAAAATTTTAAATTTTAAAAAATTATTGATCATATTATAATCAAAAGTTAATATCATTAGTAAAAGTATCAAAACAATGAAAGAAAATAAAATCAGGGTACCAACTTGTCATAACCATTTTTCGGGTGGAACAATTATTTATTGTTTTAAACACGACTTTAATTTGGAAAAAGTAAGGATTTTGAAATTAAGTTGAATAGAATTGAAAAAGAGTCACCACTGATCATTTAAAAAATTGCTAAGTGGATCGGACACCATCTTATCTGATCTACGTTTTACTAAAAATGTGTCAGGTTCGGGAGTCGGTTACGGTCAAGGAATGATTAGCACCCTTAAACCGCCCTTTTGGTACCAATTAATTTGTCGGTTGTCTTTAATTACGAAAATTAAAATTAAAATTAAAATTTAAAAAATTGATCATAATTATTTACCTTTAGATCAATTAAAATTATCCTTAGGATTTAAGTTCCTCTTTGATTGTTGAATAAACGTGTTTCGATTGCTGAAATTTTCTATATTTTATTGCTATTTTTTCTTGCTAAAAAACTGAGAGGAACTAACCCTTCTCTTACATTATGATTCGGCTTTTATAGCCATTTTACATTGATTTTTACATATATAAAAATACCACTTGTTGTGTGTGTGATGATGTTTCTGTTCTTTTGTAGGAGCAGCTGGCAAGGGCGGTGGTGGCAGACATGCTGGTAATGGTAGGCACCGATTCCTTTTTGTTGACTTGGTGATGTTGGTGTCGTGATCTCCGAGGAGAGGTTGCTGGGCGAAAAGCAGTGTCTACAGTTGCTCCTCTTTTCCCATAGTCGTGTAACGGGGATAAGGAAAGATTAAAAGACACACTTTTCATTCGGTGGAGTTGAAAATTGACTCTGATGTTTCAATAACTCATTGTCGAATTGAGTTGAGGATGGCTCCTCCATTGCGAAGTCGAGTCCATCTTGAAATGATATGGAATTGAAGCTGTAGTTCGGGATTTGAATCAGGATGCGACTTCTCGTTGCCAAATTGTAGTCAACTTCGGTCTTCTTCTCGGTTTTAAAGACCTTGGATCTGAATTGAACTCAGAAATCTTCGTTGACAGATAGTTTTTCTCGACTTAATCTGTGCTGTCAGAAAACGGTTTCTTGTCACTAAGGCACGCCTAACTCAGGTCTTCTTCTCGACTTGAAAACCTCGACTTGAGCTATGCTGTAAATTTGATTTGCCTCTGAGTTGAATGGAATCGAACTCGAAGGTATTTACTGACAGATAACCCTTCTTGCCTTGAGTTATGCTGTAAATTGGATACAACTTAGAGCTGAATGTAATCGAACTCGAAGGTCTTTTGTTGGCAGATAACCCTTCTTGCCTTGAGCTATGTTGCAAATGATGCTCCTTTGAGCTGAGTGTAATCAAACTCAAAGGTCTTTTGTTGGCAGATAACCCTTCTTGCCTTGAGCTATGCTGCAAATGATACGCCTTCGAGCTGAGTGTAATCGAACTCGAAGGTTTTTGTTGATAGATAACCCTTCTAGCCTTGAGTTATGCTGTAAATGATGTGCCTTTGAGCTGAGTATAATCGAACTCGAAGGTCTTTGTTGACAGATAACCCTTCTCGCCTGGAGTTATGCTTTACTTGACTGGGGAATAAACCCATGTTGTTGCAGATAACTCATTTGCTGTGAAATCAAGTCGATCTGTTGAACACGATATCCTTCGTCGTGAAGTTGAAATCGTGGATGACCCATTCGTTGTGAAGTTGAGCCTCGAATTGGATATTCTTTGTTGTGAAGTTGAAATCCAATCTAAGGATGGATGTTACTGGTGAACACGATATCCTTCGTTGTGAAGTTAAAATCATGGATGGCCCTTTCGTTATGAAGTTGAGCCTCAAATTGGATATCCTTCGTCGTGAAGTTGAAATCTAATCTAAAGATGAATGTTGTTGGTGGGCACGATATCCTTCGTCGTGAAGTTGAAATCGTGGATGGCTCCTTCGTTGTGAAGTTGAGCCTTAAATTGGATATCCTTCGTTGTGAAGTTGAAATCCAAGGGTTGTTTCACCAAATTGGTTTTGAGTTGGATATCCTTCGTCGTGAAGTTGAAACCCAATTTTACCAAATTGGCTTTGAGTTTGATGTCCTTCGTTGTGAAGTTGAAATCCAATCTCGAGTAAATTATGTCGCTTCGAGTCCAATACCCTTCGCTGTGAAGTTGAAATTGACTCTGAATGAAACTGGAAAGTTATTTGTTGACAGACGCTCATTCGCTG